AAGAAATAAACAGAATTTATACTTATTGATCACCTGTCATGTTCTAGACACTATAGTAGTACAATATAATTTAATCTTGCAGTAGCCTTAGGAGGTGGTTATTGAAAATCTGAATTTACAGATGACGAAGTTGACATCAAAGAGGTGACAAAGCCAGGGAATTGCAACCCTTGGATTTGAAGCCAGCTAAATTTAATTTCAAAACCTGATCCCTGCTAGAATTCTGTAAATACAAACTGTGGTGTGCACCATGATTCCCTACATAGTATCACATCACATATCCAGCATCACCAGAGAAGGTGGTATTCTGCCTAACATGAAGAAGTCAATATCATAACATCCTAGTGCTAATGTTCATTTCTTTGGCATTTGAATATGACTTGAAGTTGGAAACCAGAAATGTTGTTTGTGAAAAATCATGTGTTAATATGTTCCAAGAACTGAAAAGACTGACCTGGGATAAATTTAGAAAATTTCATTTACTTGTATTTATATCTTAGTTAAGATTACTGGATAGGTTTCAAACTACATAACTGCTGGGGATTTTTTTTTTTAAATTGGAAACTGGTTTCAATAAATGTAACTAGTTATCTGAGCTTGCTCAGACCCTGAGCTGAATCATATTTATAGGAGAGAAGATAAAAGCTCCAAATCTCCTTCTAGTCTAATAAATATTGTTTACTAAATAAATACCTGGCATTGGAAATGTATAGGTTGGGGAAGGGCAAATAAAAATGCTGAAATAAAATGGATGAGAACATGGAAAATTTAATGCTAATTCCTCATGCATCTCCATTGTTCATCATTTTATTCTATCATCCTCTGAGATTTTAAGGAATAAATATTATAAATGCTCATAATGTCAGAATATTATTAAACCCATGTATGGCACTGAACTTGGTGAGCATCCAAAGTTAGACTTTAGAGACTGAAAACACATACTAAATAATATATTATTTCCCCTCCCTCATTATAAATTTACCACCTATTAATTTCATTAAACATTTCTTCCCCATTTCAAGCAAAAAAGATTTACTCAGACTTCTTAAAACATAATTTAGGCCACTTGAATCATATCACATCTTTTCAGGGCATACTTCACTTGTAGTTCTTACAGTAATACTTTCTCTAGTATTAATTACCTGGTGGTTTGGTAACAAGCATATGCCAGTTGATATACTATGACAATTTTAGGAAATATACCAGATTTAATATTAAGCCCGTGAGAATAAATAGAAGCTCCTCCTTCCCTTGTGTTCCCTTCCTCTTCCATGGTACGGGGGTTTGAACTCAGGGCCTCAGGCTTGCTAGGCAGACACTCTACCACTTGAGCCTGCCTCTAGCCCCTCACTTCCTTTTGAGATAGGGTCTTACTATGTACTTCAGGCTGGCCTGGAACTTGTGATGTAGCTCAAATCGGGCTCAAACTTGGAATCTTCCTGCCTTGGCCTCCTAAGGGCTGAGATTATAGCATGTCACAATACCTTCGCATCATAACCTTCTTAAAGGGCATTTGTCTTTGTATGCGTACAGTATTAAACACAGTCTTCTTCATGGTAGGACAAAGTGAGGGCTAAAATTTAGTGTATAAATACATGGGTGAAACTCTGTATTCTGTTGTGCATGTCTCTTACTATCTCCATTTCTGTTGTTAGGAAAATTAAGTTAGCTAAGATCAAACAGTTAGCAAATAGATTTGTAGTTTGAATTCATGTCTGTCTCTTGATTTCACCCTGTGATTTCCCATCCAGTACCACAATGTTATTTGTACAGTGGTGACATCTTCATTCATGTTCATCATCCCTCTAGTTAAACCTAGCCTTGAATGGAAAAGTCTGAAGACCAGTAAAGATGTGATTCACAATTGGCCTAAAGACCAATTGGAATGCTACATGTTATTATATAGTATATAATTAGTCTGTAATTAAGAGCTAAAAGCTAAGTCACAGACAGAGCCAGCCTTTGTCAATAGTAATGATTCTTTGTGGCCTGAATCTCTGATTTCATTTTCTTTTCCATTGTAGAAAACTGGTAAATAAAGAAAGGGGATGAATGGCAATAGGAAAGGCAGAAAGACACAACTACAGATTTGTTAATCAGGATAATGCTCTTCAAGAGCAGCTTTGCCTGAGTAGCATTTTTGATATTTGCTCTTTCTTTTTCATAATGTTTATGACATTTTTATGGTTTTGTGGTACCGTGCTTGAGGCATTTTAGAACATTAGAATAATGTACAATGTTACTTGAGTCTAACTGTGTTTTCAGTGCCTAGGTCACCATTCTGAAAGAGAAGCAATGCTAGGTCTCAGCTTGAACATTGGAGGCACTTATTATATCACTGGACAACTATCCTATCTTTGAATCATATAGTTTATTAAGGAAATAAATTTTCACCTTCATATTAATAAAAAAATTTGCAAATCCTACCACCTTCCTGAAATTATTAACATATCTGAAAAAAAACTATGTGGCAATATATTTTACTAGGATGGTTCTTTGGTTCCTGGCAAACTCCTCAGTATTGATTAGCATTTCTGCATGGGAGAATAGAATATATGTGCAGTCATAGAGCTAATATCATATTGTATCATTAAGCCTGTGGATTATGTTCAAATCTTCACTAATATTTTTCTTAAGATAAAATAAAAAACTTCTAAATTTCAAAAAATATTATTTGGCCTTTTAAAAAGTTATCATTTAACAAACATGGGACCCAGACAAATTTTTCATTCTTCTAGGATAAGAGCAATAGCCAAAGTACTTTGACAAGGGTCTCATTTAGACTCATATATTCTTATTTGATTGCAAACATGGTTTGCAATAATGCCTCTTAGCCACCTAGATGCTGGCTCCCATAAGATCATCCTCCAAGTTTCCTGCATACTATATAGTGTGGCATGTTTGTTTAAAAGGCAAATTTTCAAGTTCTACCAAGAATGCTGATTCAGTAGAACAGGGGCAGGAAGGAGTCTTCCTTTGCCACCAGTGTTGGAAGTTACGCTGGTGTGGGTGATCTGCAAACCATACCCTGAGAAACCCTCCATAATGTTCGCAGTAGTGACAGGGAAGGTTTTTGACTCATTCAAAAATTACAAGGATGGTAAGACTTTATAAAACTTCTCAAATGTGCTGATTGAAAATGTCAAAAAAAATTTACCAGGCATGTGTATATGTGGGTGTGTTCACTTTTTAGAAACTCCCAACCTTTCCAGTTTCTCTTGTGCTCTATAGAATGCTTATTATGTTGTAGATCTTGCTATGGGAGATCAGGATACATCTGATGTCAACTCCAAAGTAATATACCCATCTCTGTAAGCACTACTCATGTCCCTCAGGAAAAAATCAGTATGCTTGGATCTTATTTGGGAAGTCCCTCTTCAGGTAAGGATTTGATAGGAAAACATATCGGGGTGGGGGGGATGATTGAGAGGAAGAGGAGAATGGGCGTTTGTGGTTGGGAAGTGAGAGTATCCCCATCCTCCCATCTCAGCTGACCATCATGTTCTTCCCAGACCTATGCCCAGGATTTCCAAGTCTCATTCAAGTTTCATCGCTGCTGAGAGACAGCACAGCTTGCCTATAGAGCTCTAGCATTGCTGGCAACATCCTGTAAGTGTACCTCATTTACCCAGCTCTATCTCTGCAAAGACTCAGCTGGTTCCCTGACAAAGTATGTGCTTTTTGACCCACATCTGAGAATCAGGCAAAGTGACAAAGGTCATGCCACTGAAGATGTAACTTACTGTTATTACAATTTTGATGTTTCTTTAACATCATGGGTTTTTGGCATTAATTGTGACTTTTAAAAGTATTGCATCAAAATACTCTGTATTTCGATGACAGCTGTTCTGTACCTCCTTAGATTCTGCTTCTTAGGTAAGTTCCTCAATCACCTCATCATAGTCCCTGGACTATAGGTATTTATCCTGTGATATATTTAGACTTCTTGCTAAAGAAGATAAGATTACTTATCTTAAAAACATTTTCAATTATTATGTCAATTGTCTCTACTTATTTAAACATGAACTCTTAGCCAAGGGCTGGCTGGTGGCTCACTAACTACTCAGGAGTCTGAGATCTGGGAATCGTGGTTTGAAGCCAGCCTAGGCAGGAAAGTCTGTGAGGCTTTCATCTCCAATTAAACCAAAAAAGCCAGGGCAGAACTGTGGCTCAAGTGGTATAGAGCTAGCCTTGAGCAAAACAAAAAATAAAAACAACACAGGAACAGTGCTTATGCCATCAGTTCAAACTCAAGGCCTAGCACAAAACCACAAAACAAAAGAAAACAAAACAACATGGATTCTTGAGAACTTATAAATTATCTGTAGAAATACAGTTCAAGTCTTTGACTTTTTTAGAAATGTTAATTTTTTTGGTATGAGTATTACTGTTATTTTTAGATTTGTCTATCTGATCTGACATAAACTACCAGTATTAAGTAAAAACTTTGTAAAGAAGGTTTGAAATTACCTTCTTCTATTATTCAATGGCATGGTAGGAATATATATATATATATATATATACGGCAATATATTAACTAGTGACAGCAAAACCAACTCTGAGAGCTACTCTGCTAGGTAGTATGGAATATCAGAAGGCAAGTGACACACAGTTCTTGTCAAATGCTACTTACAACTTAAAAGTTGTTAATTACTTCGGGCAGGATAAATGGGACATTATACCAAATGAGACACCATAGTGTAGTAAGTTGTCGAATTCAACACAAGTTTGCAGTGCTTCATAGTGAACTCAACGTTAACTTGAAACTTCATTTAGTGTTAACTGACATCATAAAATAGTATATGGAGAAAATTCACTATTTGCTAAATCAGCATACTTAATTGATACTGTTTTCAGGTCAGCGTTGTTGAATGTGAGAGTGAAAGGAAATAATTTGTAGTTACAATTATTAAGATTAAACAAATTATCTAAAGAACTTGATCATTTTTCTGGCTGTTTCTGAAGCACATTCATTATAATATAGAAAAAAGTTCCCTTACTTGTGGCCTCTCCATTCATTTCTTCAAGTTCAGTATTGATGCCAACATCTATGGAATTCATTATTTTGTCAATCTGTGAGAAATAAAAGCCATGTAAGTGAATTTTTAAACTCATTTGAGTATCACATTTAAAAATAACTTTTACGTTTCAGGATCATATGTTCTTGGGTCATTGCATTACTACAAGATATAGACCAATAGGAAAAGAATAAAAAGGAAATGAATATCTTTTGGATTTGTATTTAAAATATAAATTATGCTTCTTTAAACTAGGCATGGTGGTACATATCTGTAATCTTAGAAACCTAGGAGGTAGAGATATCCTACCTGACTCTGAAGCCAGCCTGGGCAAAGGTAAAAAGACTCTATTTCAAAAACAAAATAAAACAAAGGGTCTAGAAGCCTAGCTCAAGTAGCAGAGTGCTTATCTAGTATGTATAAAGCTCTGGGTTCAATTCCCAGTAAAAATTAAATAAAAATAAAACTCAAGCTTTAGAACTGGGTTTGCATGTTCTCCGCATTTCTTGGAATGAAGTTTGTGCTCAGATAAATAAGTAAATTAAGAACTAGAAGTTTTTAAACTCAGAAAGGGACTGGGCTATTGGTGTACCAAGGAAGCTCTCTGGAATCCTGCTTCTTCTATCTGAGTGCATGAATCTCATTTGCCCAGTTAAAGTGGCAGATTTCAATTTGCAGGCATGACGATCAGAATCCAGTTTTAACTAAGTTGTTTGGCCAGACACAAACTGGCTTGTGGCATCCAATTACAAGAATATGTACATGAAAACAACTAACTTCTGAAAGGCAATATAAATGTATTAGTCTTGTCTCCAAAAAAGGATTCTAAGAATGATTTCAAATGTATTCACAGAGCTTAAAAAATACAAGAAATGGATCATCTTTTTAAATCCACATATTAGCTTAGAATTTAAATGTGTCTATCTAATTCATAGCCATCTAGAGTTTAATCTCTTTATTCCTCTTATTAGCAACCTGAGTAAGACAGCAGGTTTCAGAAAGGACAATGAGCATTACTTAAATGTCCCATTTTGTTCAACCTGAAACAGATCCAGACATACCAAGTGATTTTCCCAAATAGCTCAATTCAGACAGTCAATATCAGAACCATATCTATTTCTAGTTCTCAGAATACTATAGTGACCTAATGTGCTTTTAAACCAAATCCAACTGGCACAGCCTTTTGAAAGACAAAATGTGACAAAGTAGGATGAAATATCAATAAAGACTGTGGCCCATTCTTTAAAGAAATTCAAGAAAAGAAGCAATGAATTTTATTATTTCATGATGTAATTCTCCCTAGGGGCAAAAGATGATATTTCATAGTCTTACAAAAGCACTTGCTTTAAAAATAATTCTTTCTGATTAAAGACATTATCTTTAAGTAGACATTGTTTTTAAGTTGGAGCTACTTGGCCCCTATACTTTTTTCTTTGTTTCTCTGATATATATAAAAGGAAAATACCAAGTGTTATTTATTTATGATATATGATATGATTCTTGTAGAAAAGTCAGGACCACTGACTTTACCATTCATATTAGAACTACAAGAAGCTGTTCTGAAAAATATGATATCTTAAAGAAAGGAGATGAGTTACATAGTGTTTAGCAATTATCAAATTGACACAGAGCAAAATGTAAGATTTCTCTAGAATTCTCAGTTCCAATGCCTGGGAAGGCATGATGTGAACAACATCTTATATCTCATAGCTAGTTATTACTTCTGCATAACATAAGTTTCTATGCAGACAATAGATTTCTCCACATGTGTGGAACTGTTTATTTTTATACTTGCTATAGAAGAATCATTTATTACCCATAGAACCTTTTCCCTTCCAGTTATATATATTTGTTAATTTCTTCTTCTTTAGCTTCTAAAAGACTTAAACAGCTGAAAATCATTCCCTCATACCTCCCTCAACTCCAACGTCTTTAAAAAAAATAGCAAGAATATCTGGCCTTACTTCTTCCCACTCAGATGTGAAAGATGGTGTTCTTTCTGAAGTCTCTTTAGAACTGTGTTCCGCAGTTGAAGATTCACTCCAGTTAACTCTTGATGCTTTCTCCTTTGAAGGGTAGGCGATGAGATCAGAATCGGATTTAGAGACATTTTTGGATAAATGCATGTCGATCAGGGCTTTGGGCAATGACCTTATTCTCCCCAGAGTGCAAGCTCTCTCCACAAATCCTCCTGTGTTCACAATCCACTGGTCCCCACTCCGGGATCCACTCCTGGTTGTTCTTGTACCAACGATGGTGTGGTTCTCTAGTGGATTGCTTCTTTTGTGAAAAATTGTTCTACTGACCACTTTGGGTTTAATTTTCTTTACCAAAGGTTCTGAGCTCTTTTCTATTGCAGTCTGCTTAAAAGGCAAAGGACTGCTTGCCGAACTGCTTTCATCTTGTCCTTCTTCACATTGCTCTCTTTTCCCATACAGATGGAATGGATTTTCAGGGGACTCACAGGCTGGAGAGGATCCATGGAGAAGGCCTGCAAATTGCCCAGGATCATATTCTTTAGGGGGATCATTGGCTTCCTGTTGAGAAGGGTCCTCTGCAAAAGGAGAAAAGGTGTCAGGATACTTGCTTGTATAGCACTCCAAAAGCTACCATACACACACAGTACCTGTATGAACGTGAGCAACATACAGACATTGGATTTATTGCTACATTGCAAGACTTTTACTTTAGAGAATGGCCTTTACTCTGTAGTGCTGCGCATACAAAATGAATGTATATAGGTATGACTTAAATCTTCCTGAGTTACAAAAGATTTGAATAAGTGACCTTGTCAAAGCCTATTTGTTCATTCAATGAATTCTTAATGCTCCATGAAGTAGGATAGTCACATTAAAAGCCTCCATAGTACATGATCGTCACAGAATAGTAAGGCATCAGCCAGATGAGTCAAAATTGCACATGATGGTACCCCTTTTGCCCCATTCCCAGCCCCCTCAAATCTTGCAAGAAGTACAATTAGAAGTAATTTAATGTTAGCAATCCTGATGGTATTATTTTAAACATAAAATTAAGAATAATTCTATGACAATGTTACGATCTCAACAAAAAGAGTTTGTTCAGACCTAACAAGGGAAAATGCATTTGTAATATCATTAGAAATTAAGACTGCTATGTAAAACTGATATTGAGTTATTAACACAAAACTATCATTTTCTTTCTTCTCTGAAATAGCATTAGTTATTTTCTCATTTCTTTAAATCTTTGGAATTGTAATGTAGAAAAGAACCCAAAGAAGAGAAAACATTTTCATTGCTTTAGGGTTTTTTTCCTGAGATAAAACATAAATTTTCCTCTGAGATTTAAAATGCATTATACTAGACAAATCAAAATCCCTATAAATTGGAAAGGAAGGGGGTCTTTAAAAATGGTCAATTATAAAAGGCAGGAAGATGGTAGATAAAAGACAGCTAGCATTTTCCTGTGTCTACAGAACACTGAACACCAGGGAGTGGTGGGTGGAGCAGAAAGGCAAGACAGGGAAACAGTAAATAGAAGGCAGTTAGAAGCCAGATGAAATCCAGAAATAACTGAATTTTAGATTTATAAAAGGAACAATAGAGCCTAACATAGAGCACTAAGCAAAATGGTCGGGAAGGGGAAATTCCTCATTTGTCAGCAATAGCTGCAAGCAAAAGAAAGGAAAACATCAGGGAGCTGGATAGGCACCTTGCAAAAGTAAAGATGAAGGGAGCAGAGCAAGCATATTCTAGAGAAGGAGCCCCTGCCCTTCCTAGCTTGATTACTGGTGTATTGGAAGGAAATCTTAGAAAAGCCTTCTGGCTGGAGAGAGCAGAGGACCCTGAGGCTTTTATCTTCAACCCCAAAGATCTCTCCACTGGAGAATCAGTGTGGGCCCAGGACATTGGTTGCCATGTTGTGACTTAGATTTATGCACACGTATTCTATTTGGATAGGAACTGCATTGCAAAGGGAAACCACCAGCAAACACACTGGGGAAGCTGTAGCCTGAACTCTGGTGTGCGTGGGGTTAATCAGAAACCCATGCCTAGTTCAGCCTGTCCTGACTTCTTGGTTTGACTGCTTTGTACTTCTCTAAAGGGCCTGAGAATGTTGGTGGACAATAGCTGCTGCTTAGGAATTATACAAAGCTCTCCCCTTTCCTTTCTTCTCTTAAATAGTATTAGTTATTTTCTGATTTCCTTAGAAACCCAGAGAAAGTATCCCCTGGCTCCCCTGGGTCTCCTGGCTAAGTTGGTGGTAGTAGTTTGAGGGGAGCTTCTGAACTCCCCCTATCAGGTTTGAATATGGAAAAAAAACTAATAAGAATTTATCATCTAGAAGGAAAGACAGTACTAAGCTCAATTCAAAAATAGTCCTTTCTAGTCTTGTTTGGATTTTAGAGAGGAAAAACATCTGGCTTCGTAGGAAATAAAGTGAAAACAAGTCTGAGATGAGGTGGGATGGGAATCCATCCTATTCCTTCACCAAGCAATTTTACCCTCCCTCTCTCATGCCTTCCCTCCCTCCCTCCTTCCTTTGTATTATTTTGTTTTTCTCAGTACTTAATTTATTTTGTTCTATTATTGCTTATAGTTTCATCTCTTAGAAGTTGCTCTTTCCTGTCTTTCTTCTTCATGTTTCTTTTCCCCATCGCCCATCTTATTATTTACTAATACCTTTGGCCTAATAATTTTTAAATTCCTAGTTCATCACACAAGTATTCTACTTCCTTCCTTTTATAATCTTATTGCTTATAGTTAATACTTTCATTTTTTAAAACTAGCTTGAAATACTGGATTTATATTTAATATTTTTTATTGCCATCCACTTTCTGTCCTCTGGGTGGAAGTGGAAATTGTAACTCTAAGAGAAGGCTGCCAACTAAGAAAAGACCCTATTAAAACTGAACACAAGTCAAAAGTGACATGTATTCTAAAAAATGGACAAAATATAATCTAGAAAAGCAAGAAATTTAAAAGCTCAATGCGGTGTTGGTAGGTAGCAGGTAGCCACAGGTGATGGAGAAATGTAATGGGAACAAAAAATGGAACATGAGATCACTAGGTCTCTGAGAGAGAACTTTCCAGCCAAACAATATAGCTTACTAAGGTCATAGAATGTCACAAGATGGTTTGGGGGTTCTTTTCTTTTTGGGTACTCTTAAATATTGGTGAAAGGATTCATCCCAGCCTGAGGTGAATCAACAAACAGTTCCTGAAATAATAGATCTTGAACTAGAGGTCAAATGAAATTTAGTAAACTTCTCACAATCTGAGGCTGACTTTCTCTCCTGTAAGTGGACTTAACAATATCTTTGAAGAGTAAGCCTATTATGCTTCAATAAGAACTTTTGCCACGGTAAAAATAATTGTCATTCTCACCCTAGTGATGACGCATTTTCATTATCCACATCATGTTATAGTTAAAATGTTGATAATACAAATTACAATAGAAACCTTAAAAGCCAGAAAACAAGGAATGTATCTATTGCAGGCCCTGAGTAAAAATAACTGCCAATCAAGACTACTATTCCCAGCAAAGTTTCCTTTAACATCTGTGAATAAATAGTTTCCATGATAAAGCACAAACTGAAGTAATTCATGATCAATAAACCGGCACTGTATGCATATCTGAAAAAAGAGACTTTGATCCAAAATTAGAAAGAGATTAAGTCATTACATATTAATCAAGGGAACAACCCATTAAGAAGTTATAATGACTGTAAACATAGGCACTGAACACTGGTATACCTAATTGCATTAAAGCAACTATTGGTAATAAAAGGACAGATAGGGTCAGATACAATAATAGTAATACTCTTCTATCTTAGAAAGATACATCATCCAGATGGAAATTTAACAAAGAAACTTCAGATTAAACTTCAACACAGATCAAAGGAATTAATAGACATCTACCAAATATTAATATTAATAGGCAACTATAGAATTTAGATGTCCATAGAATTTATAGATGTCTATTAATATTTTATACTGTGGAATACACACTTTTCAGAAACCCATAGAACTTTCTCCAAAATAGATCACATTTTAGGCTATAAAGGATGTCTTAAAAACATACAGAAAAGTTAAATAACTTTATTTTTCTCAAATCACAATGGACTAAAATTAGAAATCAATAGCAAGAGAAACTATATAAGTATGGAGATTGAACACTGCAGTTCTCAATGATCAGTGAGTTGTTGAAATTGGGAAAGAAAATTTAAAATCCTTACAATGAAAGTAAAATTAAAACATAATTACTAGGAACTTCAGGTCACAGCAATGACAGTTCTAAGAAAGAAATTTCAGGTTATGAGAGTTTGCATTAAAAAAAACCAGAGAGATCTCAAATAAATAACCTAATGAGTAGGCAGAAAAAAATAATAAAGATCAAGTTAGATCTTAATTATCTAAATCAACGAAGCAAAAAGTGAAAGAATATAAAGAATGCAGTATGAGGAGGGGTTAGTTAAAAAAAAGAAAGATAAACAAGATTGACAAAGTTTTAGCCCAACTAACCAAAAAGGGAGAAAACCCAAATTAATAAAATTAGAGATGAAAAGGGATACTACAACATATATCAATGATCTAGACAGCCATTATGGAATATTTTGAAAATATATTCCAATAAATTGGAAAATCCTGAAAAAGTGAATCAACTTCTATATTTGTATGATCTTCCATTGAAGTAAAATAATATAAACAATCTAAACAGATCTACAATGAGCAATGACCTTGAAGTATTACAGTAAAAGAGAAAAATCCCAGGACTAGATGATTCACTTCAGAATACATTCAAGAATAGTTAACACCTTAAACTATACTGTAAGACAGAAAGGAAGGAATATTACTATACTCATTCTATGAGGCCAGTAGTACCCTGATACCAAAACCAGATAAGCATCCTCACAATAAGAAGAGAAAATTATAGACTACTTTCCTTTATGAACATAGATTAAAAATATTCTCAATGTAAGAATTACAAACTGAACTCACTAACACAGTAAGATGATGATACATCATGATCAAGTTGGTTTCATTCTAGGAATAAGAGGATGAATGGTTCAACATGTAAAATTAAGAAATAAACCACATAAATAGAATCAAGGGTAAAAACTCATGATCATCTCCATATATACCAAAAACTCTGACAAAATTCAACATCCATTCATAATAAAGAAAAACTCTAAAGAACCTAGAAATAGAGGGTTATATCTCAATATAACGAAGGATATATACAAAAAACTATAGTTAATATTATCCTAAAGGGGGGAAAGCAAAAACATGTCCTTTAAAATTGGACAAGGTATCCAATCTTTTCTTTTATTGAATATAGTGCTTGAATTCATATCCAGAGCAATGAGACAAGAGAAAGAAAAAAAAGATATAAATAGGAAAGAAAGAAGTTAAATTGCCCATTTGCATATTATATGATCCTATACTTAAAAGATTCTAAAGTCTCTACCAGATCCTTTTACTGCTGAGAAACATTTTCATCAAAGTATACAAAATAATATATTAACCAGCAGCTTTTTCTGTATAGTGACAATTCACATGTGAGAAAGAAATCTAG